CCTGATTGTAAAGGCTAAAAAAATTGGAATTTATGTATAATTTGCTACTGTCAAGAGTTGCACTTGTTCATATTTTTTAAAGTAAAAATGTATTAATGGTATTGGTCTATTATATAAATTTGGCAGTACACTACGATAATTCACCATGTTTTTTGGTAATGCTTTTGGAATTCCTTGTCTAACTTCACGTGCTAGCAATTGAAGAAAGACTGACGATCTTAGGTTTCTACCTGTTGAATTTTGACTGTAAATGATGTAAGATTAAGTCATAAAAGAAAAAGATTTCACTAAGGCCCTGGTTGCCGCACTGCCTCAATTTATGACAGCATGGTGCGCAATTGTCATTTCACTTGAAGAAAGAATGAAGATGTTTTGGTTTGTTACGTTTTTTCTGCACAATTTTTGTTTACTGACATATATTTGATGAAATGACCCACATTGAATTTTAAAAGGCAAAACACAAATCACTGTAGGATCATCCTCATGCTTTAATTCAAACCATAAATGAAGGCAAAAAAGCAAGATGAACTTTTTAATAAACATAATTAGCTCACCTTTTACCATATAACTACAGCATGAGATATGTTCATTAGGTATGAGTTGAGTTTTGATTATTTTGTAAGATGGAATTCGTATTTGAGTATGTATTTAAAAGCTTTAGTGAAAAAACTTTAAAGATTACAGCATATTTGAATCTGATCGATGTTTAAAATTAACTCACTTGCAAAAAAATTTCCTAACAAGCTTCCTTATAAACTTTTTTTGTCCGACGACCCGGTTTAGGAAATATTGCACTAGAAATTTTTATCAGACGTAAACTTTATGAAGTTTATGATGTATCATTGAACTATAATAGATGGAAGGCTACCGGTAATATAAAAACCAAATAATTTTTCGAAGTCAAATTTGACCTCCAGAAACTCGAAATAAAGAATATTTGTAGAAGGTATTGTGGCATTAAAGGTGATGGAGCTTGATATTTTTACTGTGAATTATGATGCTAACTATTGAATACCTATTTCGTAATGGAAAATATCAACTGTGGAAACTGATCGTTCAATTTATACAAATCGGAAACACTTCAGCAAGCATCCTTTACCATGAAAGATTTGTAGGTGCATCTATTTACAGAAGCCCTTAATTTGGGAGGATATGACGACTATTATCATATATTATCTAACTTATATTTTTAAACCAAATCTCATGTAAGTTTGAACTAAAAATTGCGTTTTTGAACGTTCACGGAGTAACACTAATAATAATTGTTTTGGGTAGAAATACATTTACAAAACTGATGTTTGTTTAGAATTCTATGTGCTTTTCTATGCTACGTTGAAACCAAAATGCTTTAGTTTTTGGCACATTTGCAGACATACCAAAACAAACAACAACAACAAAGTGCCTTTTAGTAATGGTTGGCCATGCCCGTTATGGCTTCTTTTACAAAATTGTAATTGTTAAAAGTTGTGTATACTTGTTAAGTCTCATTTGTGAAAGTTTGTTTGCCAAATTAAGGCAAAAAGAATTTGTGTTTGTTTTGGAGCGTCGTAGTTTGTACAAGTTATTTTTCGCTTCTGTCTATTGGCCGTGTGTTTACAATGCGTGGAAAGACTGGGCTCAACTGGCTTCAAAATATTGACTGACGAAGGGACGTAGCCTTCCATGTATTTAGTATGAGCCAATATTTACTTTTAAAGCAAACATGTTACGACTTGTCTCACAAAATAATTTTATGGATGCACTTGTTAAAATTGAAATGCTATGACAATGAGTAATTGAATATTTACACATGGCAACATATAGACCTAAAATCCATGACTAACCAACAATATTTAATTTTAATTGAGAAAACAGAGACAAGCCAATTTTCAAATCGAAACAGCAAATTCATTATCAACAACCTACAAAGGGCTTAAATTCTAGGTGTGTAGTAGTGTCTTCTTTTTTGCACAAAAATGCTAGTGATGTAATCCAAAATAACATATTTCTGAAGTATAATAAACAACGTCAACATTCCTAAAGTATACAAACAAGCTACAAACTTCAACATTATTAGGGGATGGGCAACAAAATCAATTCCTAAGGCCACGAGGTGAAATGGATAAAGTGGCTAACATTGGTCAATTTCACTGAGAAATGAAAAGAGCTGCATTATACACAGCAATGACAGTGCCTGGATCATCCCCATTCTGACCAAATACTCACCAGATAGCTAGTTGTTATAAGTACGTAGAGCGTTTAGACAAACGGCAGATATCGCACGATAGTGACTCAATATGAGCCCTTTCCCAAACAAACTATAATGATAACATGTATCAGGATATCATGTTTGGCACAACTATTTCAAAATCAATGGTGAATCTATGGTAAGGGTAGGTCAAAATAAATTTCTGCAGCTCATTCTTGCATACATTTCCATTTCCAAACACTGAACTTTATTTTCAGTATTTTTTCACGGTCTCTTCGAAAAACTGAAATTCTTATTTTGCGTGGAAAGATTGGTAACGATACTTCAAATTTCCGGGCAAAAGTAATAGTAGTTTATTAAAAAGTTGAATGATGGCGCCAAAATATGGAGGAAAGAGATCGATTCTTGAGTTTATTTTCATTATTAAATGAAAGATGACCCGTAACAGCAGTGCTGCTTCTATTAAAGATGCCAAAAAGAAGTGCAAAGTCTGTTGTATTCAGGACTCCTCTTGAGAAACGAAAGTTGAAATCAGCGAGGAATAATTCTCGCAATGATGCCTCAAATTATGAAGCTACATCATCTAGTTTTACTGGATTCATAACTTCAACACCAAGAAAAGCCAAAGCTCATAATCGATCCTTATCGCATCAAAAAGAGGGAAAGGAATCTCCGTTATTTGAGAAAAGCATTAGATTGACTTCTCACAGGAAAGTTGGTCGACCTCCAGGGAAAAAATCAAGCTATGTTAAGGTAGACACAACAATATCACAACAATTATTGCAAGCAATTTAACCATGAGTGGTGTGTTAGCAAATTTAGTCATGTAAATTTCAAAATATGAAATTTACGTCATTATTATTTTCATCAATTTCATTTATTCGTTAGTAAATACTGATATATTAGTATAGTTGGAAAAAATTAGACCAAACTAAAACTGCCTGATGAATACATGTTTTCACCGTTAATGCTATACTAAATGCTTATCGAACGTTTTATTTTTAAAATTTCATGGAAAGAGCTACGAATTAAAATTTTAAAATATCAAAAAGCAACAAGTTACAGTATGTATCATAATGTTGTTGAACTTTATCGGCTCTTACCGAATCTTGGCCGAAGGCAGCACGATATGTTACCAAATATGGGCAATAGGTGAAGCGCGGGAAAATCCAAAATGAATCCCACAGGAGTAAAAACAATGAAGACTTACGTGCGATTTTTAATTTTTTATTGTGAAAAAAAACAAAGTTATTAAGCATGCTTGGCTTTATTTTAGCCAACAATTTCTTCAAGAAATAAAACACATCTCCACAACTGTTTTTTTTTGCCAAGATGATTGTATCACACACTCAGGTAGCGTTGAAAGAAATGCGTAAATTTTATTTTTTGATGGCAATCTTATGAATTGTATGACAGTGCTCGTAAATCATGTATTTTGTTGAAAGATGCTCGTGTTTGCGATACATTTTCCCTTTCGTTGCTTTTATATCTGCTCTTGTTGATCTCAAATGATTGCCGATTGGAGGCTACCGTTATATTTTAATAATTTATAAGCCGTCGTTTTTTTGAAAGTGTATTATGACAAATGTTTTGATAAATATATCACTCTTCTTCTCAACTTATTTTTGATGTTTGCATTATGAATCTCGTTTTTATTTCAAGTAACTAAATGCTTACAATGAGTGGGCCTCTATCTTTTACATTACGCTCATCTATCTTCTCCATTCATGATATTTTACAACTGTCCAGTCTTCTCACTCGTAAAATGAACAAAGGCTTCCCTTACCAAAAATCTAAACTCTATATTGTCATATTGTTTATTATCTGTGTCCATGCTTGTTGTGTATCTGTTAGCAGGAGAAAACTATGATATTAATCATAATTAGCAATGTTTTTATAGTCTCTATGGCTCTTTTAGATTGTAGTATCTGATACAGAGATTGACAAGAAACAGCAAGGAAAAGAGAAATATGCCAAAGTGGACTCTTTATCGCTTTTGAAAACAGTCAAAACATCTTTGGCAACGGTATTTTTATAAAATTTTATATACATCATCAAAACAAAGTAATAACTTCATTGAAATATGATTGGGGAATAAGAATGAATGAAATATAATATCATTAATGGATGTAATCTCACTTGAAAATTTGTTTTCTGACCATAGGCTCTAAACGGTCCAATAAATAATGAAGTTTTTGAAAAATCCATTGAAATGTTATCTCAAGTGTCATCCAATAAGCCTGAAATGCTTCTTGATGGAGAAACCCCCCAAATGATAAGTTACATTACATTTATGTTTGTTTTTTGTTGAAGGGGGTGGGAGAAACATGTTGGAGGTAAGAGAGGATGTGTGGAAAGGATGTGTGTGATAATGGAGAGATATTTGAACTGTTCAAAGATATGTCCGTGGAACAGAGATAAAGTTAAGATGGAAAAGATGGAGGAAAATAAAGATTATTAAGATTGAAGAAAGAAAAAACCGAAGAAGATGTGTTGGGAGAAGATGTGTGTTGAAGGAGATTGTGTTGAGAGGGGGATTTGTGTTGGGAGAGAGATGTGTGTTGGGAGAGAGATGTGTGTTGGGAGAGAGATGTGTGTTGGGAGAGAGATGTGTCTTTGGAGTGGGATGTGCATTGAGCATGTTTTGAAAAGAGAGATACTATGTTGATGGGGAGGAAAAAGAATGTTAGAAACAGGTGGGGGAGAAGGTAGTAAGATGAAGGTGGGTGGGGGATGTTCACTCAAGGATATAAATAATCTCTTGTAAATAGACATTGACGATGTAGTTTGTGTGTTTTGTTTTGTTACATTTTAAAGGTTTTTCGGACATTAATGTCATTAAGATGGGATAATAATTCTAAGGAAGAAAAGAATGAAATGATCAATAGCATCATGGAAATTGTCAGTAAGAATTAACACTCTAAAACTTTGCTTCTACATCTGTAAAGAGATTTGTCCACAGACAAAGCAAAAATTCCCTTGAAGTCCCCTTATAAAGCAATGCAATAGGTATGTTAAGGGCTCTCTAACGGGTGCATGGGGATGCTGGCAAAAATTTAAAAAATAATCGTTTAATTTTACTTATATATTCATTTATTGAAGAAAAAAAATATGATATTTCATGTCATGATTAAGTGAATGCAACAGCAAGCTTTGTAGTCCTCTCTCTTGCACATGTTCACTTGTGTGAAATGCAGTTCATAAAGGCACATTAAGAAATCAAGCAATTTCTGTGATACACAACCTCAGGGACGGCGCTAGAACGCTAATTGGGGAGGGGTGTGTATATTCATGTATTCAGTTGTGGGCGAGTGTGATTTCTTTTGAAAGTGATTTGGTTTTCTAAAGAAGTCAGTCGGACACAACTGAATATACCAATATACACTCACCCCACAATTAGCGTTCTACCGCTGACCCTATATAACTCAATTTATAAGTACAGACGTACGGAAAACGTCACATTTAATAGATGAGAAATTAGATACAGTTTTACTGAGATAGAACTTGTCAGTTATCAAAGATAAAACCATAGAAAGCCATGAAGTAGTTTCGTGAGTTAGAAGAACAGTAGATTTTGAAAGGCAAAATACAAAGCTCTTCTATGTGTCATATTAACCCTTTGTTGCATGAATTTTTTCGCCGACCGAGTTCCATCGTGTTCGGTGATTGTTGACCTGAAGCAACGCCATGCTGCAAAGGGTCACATGACATCGACATTTGTCACTCTTTGGTTCCAATTTATTTATTTATTTTGCAGAACATTGCAGATCTAAGCAAAGAAGGTGAGAATTTTCTATGTGAACGTTGTACAATTTCTCTATAGGAATGATAGAATCATTGTCATTGTGTTGTATAATACTTCTCTCATAGGAAAGCTTGCCATTAAAAGTTTCGTTCTACCTTACCTGGAGATGGTCGCCGACGAACGAAATGCTCTCATTCAAAGATTTGAGGTGCGTGCAAACTGGATGAAGTTCAAGTTCACCCTTAAATTGCAGATTTGAAGAAACGATGTTAAATAATCACGACTTTATAAATAATCTTTTCCTTATCGTATTGGTAGTGTTTACAACCATGCAGTAACAAAATATTAACATAGAACTTGTAGAACTTGTATTGGTGTAGTGTTTATAACCATGCAACTACAGAATGTTAACGTAAAACATATATAACTGGTATTGATGGTGTTTATAACCATGCAACAACAGAATGTTAACGTAAAACATATATAACTGGTATTGATGGTGTTTATAACCATGCAACAACAGAATAGTAACGTAAAACATGTATAACTTGTATTGATAATGTTTATAACCATGCAACAACAATTGGTGGTGTTTATAACCATGCAACAACAGAATGTTAACGTAAAACATATATAACTGGTATTGGTGGTGTTTTATAACCATGCAACAACAGAATGTTAACGTAAAACATGTATAACTGGTATTGATGGTGTTTATAACCATACAACTACAGAATGTTAACGTAAAACATGTATAACTGGAATTGATGGTGTTTATAACCATGCAACAACAGAATGTTAACGTAAAACATGTATAACTGGTATTGATGGTGTTTATAACCATGCAACAACAGAATGCTAACGTAAACATGTATAACTTGTATTGATGGTGTTTATAACCATGCAACAACAGAATGTTAACGTAAAACATGTATAACTGTATTGATGGTGTTTATAACCATGCAACAACAGAATAACGTAAAACATGTATAACTGGTATTGTTAAGTGGTGTTTATAACCATGCAACAACAGAATGTTAACGTAAAACATATATAACTGGTATTGATGGTGTTTATAACCATACAACAACAGAATGTTAACGTAAAACATGTATAACTGGTATTGGTGGTGTTTATAACCATGCAACAACAGAATGTTAAGGAAAAACATGTACCTTTTAAATCGTACTCGTTCACTTTTTGTGATTCCATTTTGGCGATAAAATTTCTCAACACTGTAATAGAGTTATTTATCGGTGATTTGGGCCTTGTGGATTCTCTGACAGTTGTGTAAGTATGTTTTATACGGATAGAAATGTTTCGTCACAAAACAGAATTATATTCATTTTTTTGGGGGAGGGAGAATTGGTCAAATTATATTTATTATTTTCATTCTTTCTATATTCATTGTAGTAAAAACTTCGATGTCCTTTTTGACTAATGCTGGAGGTAGGAAAGTTTCCATCGTTTTTCTTGAATATCATGTCATTTTAACGATGTTGTGAAGTGGAAATTTTCTTGTTTCAGATCTAGAAGTGCAATTGAACATGATCGAGTTAATATGCCGTTTGTTGCCTTCGCCTAAACGAAAATCTCTTGCTCAAACTTGGTTTAATGATCATCTCGATTGCCGTCGTGATTTTCTTTCCATTAGAGATTTCGAGTTTGAATCTGTAAGTTGAACTCGCAATTGGTTAAAGTAATCTTTTCCTATTACTTTATTGCTCGTTAAGTATGCGTTTTAGCTGCTCTTTCTTAGAACTGTCGAGATTAAGTCAATGATTCCCGGAGCATGAGGTGCATGGCTGTTCTATACTGTAACATATAATTAAACTGCACTCGCATACTCTGTCTTATCGTTCAGTTTCCCCTAGATAGTAAAATTATAATAAAGACCCGCATAACCCACGTCATTTTCAAATTCTCCCAATTACGTTCCCTTGAAGACAGCTTAGCCAAGGTGTTAGTCATACAACAAGAGTTTGTCAGTTTAAGGTGTCGACTTTTATCTTTAGGATTCGCGAAAGTTTGTGAATAACCTGAATGAAAACAACTTGAGAGAAGGTAAAGTTCTAAATTATGTTTGGAAAATCTAGATTGAGCAAGTTCGACACGTTGGTAGCCTGGTAACGAACTTTCATTATTTTCTATTGTTGTCTTTTAATTGAAGAAAACTAGTATTTAGTGTAGTACAGCCAGCTCACACGTTTGGTCATGCTATGTATAAAGTTCATATCACCAGCATTAGTTATATGTTTGTAAATGTAGATCGTCCAGGTTGGTATAGTCCTGAGAAGGACTGTTTTGTTATGATTGACGTTTCGACAACCTTAGCGGTAGTCATCTTTAGAGTTTTCTTCTTTTGACTCTAAAGATGACTACCGCTAAGGTGTCAAACGTCAGTCAACAATAACAGTCCTTCTCAGGACTATACTAACCTGGACGATCTCTAAATGTCTCCCTGTTCAAATCATTTACAGCATTAGTTAATGTCACTAGAACTTCATTGTTTTTACATCAGTGGACAACGAAACACTGGCATATATAGCACGATTAAACATCCTTGTTGTTTATATATTCAAAGTCATCTGAATTCAAAAAGTGAATTTCTTTGAAAGGTTTTCAAAAAACAAACAAAAAACAAACATAAATGCCATGAATAAAATCTGGATGAATATTTGCAGTGTATAGCAGACTTAATTCTTGGTTTATTTTATAGTGTATACTCACTACTTTGCAAAGACGTATACTTTGGCCTTCAGAAGGTGAAATACGATGCCCATTAGGATGTTTCTCTTAAAGTTAAGATTTTTTATCAATCTACTTGTATATTTTTCAGATTGATTGTCCGATGGATAGCGACAGTGGGATGTTTTGGACTGACTTTAATCTGGGAAGCAGGTCGATCACATTCTTTGCAATCGATGAAGAGGTAACTATTGCCTTGAGAGTTGAAGAAACTAATTTTGAAAATATGCGTAATTCAACGGTAAAATTCTTTTTATAAACTTTATTCTCGGTCCCTGAGTTTTTATAAAGTATAGCTGCTAAGTATAGAGTATAAAGTATAAAGTATAGATAAAGTTTTTAGTATGATAAAGTATAGATAAAGTATGAGTTTTATAAAAAGTATGGCTGCTAATACGACGATTAAATTGGCGTCGTTTCAACACCGTTCTTTATGGCGGGAAACCTAGTATCTAAATGTGATTTTTCATATAAAGTAGCGAGTGCAGTTGTGTTAAGTCAACTTTTACTGTATGAACAATGGTTCTGGAAAATAGGAATTGAGCTTTTTCATGAGCATACCGCCAGTGTACGTACAATGTGTTTTATAATTACTGTGCAACGTAAAACGTTATATTTTGACTTTATTACATATCCATTTAATTTATTCTAGGCTAAGATATAAATGTGGAGAGCTTTTTTCAAGAGCTTACTGCAGTGTAAAATTAAGATGATGTTTAAAAGTTTTAATTTACAGTGAAACGCCATGTATGAATTTCATATCATCAGTATTAGCTATTATTTTTACAGCGAGTGGACACCGAAATACTGGCATATAGCACGATTAAACATGCGTGTGTTTTTTATGCTTATAGTCATCTGTGAATTAAAATGATGTTTTAAGATGATGAAATTAAGATGATGTTTTAAATTTTTAAATTGCAGTGAAACGCCATAAAATGATATATTTGTGTCTTCATTAGCTGTACATATGCGTTATAAATTTTGGTTAAGATACACATGCGTGCATAAACTCATAAATGATACCAAACTTGCGATAACAATTCTAGCAGGAGCTGATTTCAACGGGGAGGGAGGGTAATTAAGAAAATTGACAAGAAAATCAATATGTTTACATATACATGTGATACGTTAGTCTAGCACTATAATCTTCTATGCAACAATCCAGTAAAAGTAGTTAAAAAATGAAGTGAGTTGATATCTCTCTTCAATTTTTCTTTGAAGGCATACATTGTTGTTTTGCTTTTTAATTTCAGTTCAAACATATCGAATTCCATGTGTGGCACCGTTATGCACGAAAGTGTTTTTCATGCTATTATTTTCTTGTCTTCTTTTTTCGAACGATTCGTTTTTATTTTTATGTTTCTATTTCAGCATGAAGAATGGGAAACCGTCTCGTTAAAAGAAGAAATGATTCTGCAAACACGCCTATTAGGTAATGAAGTTTGCCGTCCTTCAGGTTGTCTGAAGCCAAAAATGATATTAGGACATGATTGTAGAATTTGTGTTGTAGCTATGAAAAACTTTTTACGGCAAGGAAAATGCGATATTTTCAATATGTTTTATGATAAAGATCACCACGACCGAAAGTTTGCTTTCATATAAGAATTCAAACATGTTTTGTGTTTTTTTTTAGAAAAGAAAGAAAGTCAGGAGTTCGTTCTTGTCGTGCAATTGAATCAAACTGTCGATACGCTTTTATCTTTTGTCAACGATACAAGCGAAAAATATGTCAAGTTTTTATACAATCAAGAAAATATCCTTTTAAAGAATGCAAACATCTCAAGTAACCCTCTAATTCATCATTCATTCACTCAAACATCCCTAGTTACCCACTAATTCATCATTCATTCACTCAAACATCCCTAGTTACCCACTAATTCATCATTCATTCACTCAAACATCCCTAGTTACCCACTAATTCATCATTCATTCACTCCAATCCCTAGTTACCCACTAATTCATCATTCATTCACTCAAACATCATATTTACCTACCAATGAATAAAATAATACAGGAATCGACGTGAAATAGCTCATTACTAATTATGTTCGTGTCATGTGAAGACCATAATGTTGATCAGTTGCTAGCGAAGCTAAGCAAACTCTTTAACACAATGTACATAATCCATTAAACGCGGTCAGTCAGTTATTTCCAAAGACTTTCCATCAAATACAGCCGTGGATAGTCCTGATGTAATTGCTTCGACAGAGCATCCGTGACATCGAATGCCGTTTATGTTCCAAGTCGATCAAAAGGACTTTCGGAAACCGTATCTATATCAACGCCGAGGAACAGAAGAATATCAAAAGTGAGGCAAACGATGATTCGTCAAAACCGAAATCGAGTCAACGAATGGAAGAGGAGAAAGTTGGTGCAAAGATAAAGGCGTGAAGAAGTCTAACGATGCAAGCAGGAAGGATGCTCAAACTGTCGCTAAAGGGTCGAAATCGAAGGATGGTGGTTCAGGTAGTAAAGAGATTCACACATCGAAAGATTTTTCCTTTGAGAATGATATACCAAAATCAAGATTAAAGGATAGCTCAGATGGCAAAGATGAACCTAAGTCAAAAGATTCTTCAAAGATTAACGACGGTTTTGAATTAAGATCAAGGGGTAGCTCAGGTGGCGAAGATGAACCCAAATCAAAAGGTTCTTCAAAGATTAATTATAATCCTAAATCAAGATCAAAGGATAGCTCAGGTGGGAAGATAAATCCAAATCAAAAGGTTCTTCAAAGATTAAAGATAATCCTAAATCAAGATCAAGGGTAGCTCAGGTGGCGAAGATAAACCCAAATCAAAAGGTTCTTCAAAGATTAATTATAATCCTAAATCAAGATCAAAGGATAGCTCAGGTGGCGAAGATAAACCCAAATCAAAATGTTCTTCAAAGATTAATGATAATCCTAAATCAAGATCAAAGGACAGCTCAGGTGGCGAAGATAAACCCAAATCAAAAGTTCTTCAAAGATTAATGATAATCTAAATCAAGATCAAAGGATAGCTCAGGTGGCAAAGATGAACCTAAATCAAAAGATTCCTCAAAGATAAATGATAATCCTAAATCAAGATCAAAGGACAGCTCAGGTGGCAAAGATGAACCCAAATCAAAGGCTCTTCAAAGATTAATGATAATCCTAAATCAAATAACTCAACTTTTAAAGATAATAATGAAGGTAAGCGATATAAGAAACAATGTTTACGTTAATGTGGCAATCAGTACAAATAAATTCTTCAACAAATTTTTGCCATCAAATACATGTGTTGAGATTGTTAGTCACTGAAATTCAATTGTACGTATGAGATAATTTAAATAGTCGATTACTATCAGCTGTATGATGTAAATGAAATCATTGAAATGCATGCAAAAGTGACTGTACAATTATGTAATATTGAAGTCATTGTACAAATATTTGTTACTTAGGGGATTGTACATTTATGTAACATTATACAGTAAATGGTTTGAACCCAGGAGTATCGTTACATGTCTGTAGATGTAGATCGTCCAGGTTAGTCGAGTCCTGAGAAGGACTGTTGTTGTTGATGTTGACTGACGTTTCGACAACCTTAGCGATCGTCATCTTCACTCTGTTCTTGACTCTGAAGAAGACTGCTGCTAAGGTTGTCAAAACGTCAATCGACATCGACATCGACAGTCTTACTGAGGACTTTACTAACTTTACATCTACAAACATGTAACACTATACAATTACACAAACTTCAAACCCTAAAATGCTCGGTGCAGGTGCCAAGTTTGCAACGTAAACTTTCTATATTTTATAGGAAGCAAAGACGAAAAGAGGAAGGAGATTTTAAAATGCAGTGATAAAGTAACTGAAAAAACGTCCAATGAAGTGCGTGACACTATTCAGAAAGATAATTCAGCTGTTGATTCATCAAAGAATACAGATAACTTTTCAGTTAACACGAGTCAAGATGAACCTCGATTGATCGAAGAGACTCAAACATTGAGTCAAGATGAAGATCCTTTGAGTGTGTTGGCAAAACGAGGTCGTGTTTCTTCATCGGTGTCGAAAAATGACGTTGGGAAAATGGCCGTTGATGAAAATCAGAAAAAACAGAGCAGCTCTGAACCTTATTTAAGGAGTGGCAAAAATAAGAGAAAAACTAAAGTAAGTAGATGAATGGTCATGTGAGTTTCCTACTTGTGTAAGCTGTTATATATTGACAATTTCAAAGTGCTTTTCCGATGATGTTGCTTTTAGTTGATCATTGACGAAAACCTTAAACAGACAATATTTTACAGCCAATGAAATTGCACTAAGTCTTAAAACCAAACAGTATTTATCTTGAAAAAAAGCCGTTGTAACACTGCCGTTTTTTAATCAACCGCACGAAGAAGAAGGTTTGGCTCATGAAAAACAACAAACATATGAAACGCGTCTTAAATTTTTGTACAGGAAACGAAACTAAACGATGGAGATGAAAGTGATGTGGTAAAAGGAAAAGATCTCGCTCAGCGAAGAGAATTCCATCGGTAAAGGTACGAGAGAAGCCTTTTCATTCAGAAAACGCATTATTTTAAGGTTTGGTCTCATAAAATCTACTCAGTTGAAAAGCCGTGTGCTTGGTGCTGTTGATAACGTTCACGTTTTGATCTGTAAAGTTTGGATAAGATCCTTCACAGCGAAAACCTTAACTGATTGTCGCTCTATATAGCCGTAAAACTCATAGTGTTGAACTACCTTCAGTTGCTATTGAACAAGAGATGGAGAGGTTTTTGTGAAATGCTTGCTGTTTACATATTCAGTAATCGTGTTTTGCCTTTCTCAACTTAAGACGCGAGAGATTCGCACTCGAGCTTCTGCAGAAACAAGGAACTGTTGGTAACTCTACTTCCGAGTCAGATGCCGTTACTAAGCAGGAAATCTACAGTAAAGTCAGGACGTATAAAAACTAAAAATCAACTGATGTGTACGTCGAAGATGATCTAGATAAAAGAACAAGCTTGGCAGTGTAAGCATATCATAATTGACGATACCTTTAAAGAAAAACAAAATTCAACGCAAATTACTCACTTTCAGGGTTACAGAACTGAAGATTGGATGAAGGGTTACTCCGATGCGGATAGAATTTCGGCGAAACGGAAAGCAATAGAAGCCAACGCAAATGCTTCAGAAACTCGTTTGAAGCTTATCGAAAAGGTTTACAGAATTGACGTTGCATCTGATTCGAAGCGAAAGCAAAAGGTTGTTAGGTCCTCATTCTCCACATGCGGTAAGATACATTCTGCTATTCTACTGTCTTAAAGTGAATAGTTTGGACCCAGGTATTGTTACATGTTTGTAGATGTAGATCGGAGGGATGAATTCAGGATGATTTGATAGGGAGGGTGGGTGCCTAGTTTTCGTAAGACGTCATTTGGTCAGTCTAGTTTGGATTAGATTTGGGGCTACTTTATCTACAAAAATCACCTTTATTTATTTATAGTCAGTTCTCCGTTACCCCGAAGACCTGCCTTGAAATCGTATTTGTCGAATCAACGGCGAAAAGTGACGACGAAGGGTATTCGACGTGCCAAACAGGATACGTCACTTTCATATATGAAATATGACGTAAGTTGCATGACGTCACGTCAATAAAAACATTACTAATGACGTAACCGCACATAATGATTGTCTAGTCAACATTTTCAGGCTTTAGTTCGTGAAATGCGACTCATGTTTACTACGAACGACATTTTGTGGATTGTCAACTAGTACCCGCGTTGTGCTGGAAAATAATCCTTGAAATAGTAAACAAGTGTTTTGTTTTAGTTATCGTATCCAAGTATATCACAACCTAGACAGGTATGAACAAGATCTTGTAGCTAATTAATTGCTTTTATTCTTGTTGTTTAGGACGGTCCGACGTTCTCGGACGTTGCGCTCGAAATCAGAAACGAAACGATAAAGAAAATACTAGAAGGCATCACTCAGAAGGCGAAAAAGATAACAGACGAACACGATCATCAAATGTTCATATTAAAGAACTGTTCGGACGTGTTAATGAAGAAAAGGGAAATGCTCCTGATGAAAGTGGAAGAAAGGAAAATTTTCCTGATGAAAGTGGAAGAAAGGAAAATGTTCCTGATGAAAGTGGAAGAAAGGAAGGTGTTGATGAAGGACGTCGAAAAATGAAACGAAGAAGGTTGTTTGATTTCTTAGCATGGAGTCGTTGTTCTCTACTTGTGCATAACAAGATTTATTTTGTTTATTTATAGATGATGAACAAGAGCAGTCTGAAAGATCCGCAGGATGAACTGGAAAATGTTCAAGTAAGGCTAGCCGTATTTTGAAATATAATGATTTAATGATGATATTGCATGTTGGTTGGACAGAGCTTAATGTGTTGGGAACTCCTGCGTAAGTTAGTTAAATCATTTGACTGTAGAAAGGTCAAATGAGCGATTTTATCAAATTGAAAATAAGTACTTTTTAACCATGAACATACCCATTTAAGATTGTTTGATGTTTTTTTTTGAATTACATGCTACATTACATTGATAATCGAAGGAAATTCTTAAAATTTGAAGTAAAAGCATGACTACTGTACTTCTGTACTTAACTACTGTACTTCTGTACTTAACCACTGTACTTCTGTACTTAACTACTGTACTGTCTTCTGTATTTAACTACTGTATATGGATGGAAAACAACGAGTTGTATTGACCACCCTCAGTTTTTCCTTGCCTTTATCCTAGGAAGAATCCTTTGACTTCGAAGCTTTGTCGAATGTCGTTAAAAGAAAAATCAACTTTTAAAGAAAAAGAAAATGAAAACAAGAATATATCTGAGGATGAACAGGATGGAAGTAAGTCTCTGAAAGACATCGTGAACAAGACAAAGATAAACGAATCAAAAAGGTAAAGGTACGCTACAATAATCCAAGTATGTTGATGACTTGAAGCGTTGTATTTTTGTGGTTATTGACAAGAGTACTCACACAGTGACACACAAATACATATATTCATTCGTCTTATCACTACTTCTTATGAAAATATTATCATCTAATTCCTGTAGGAAGTAATTTTATTTTTGTATTATAGCATATACCCACAGCATGAGGTTGTAATATACGAATGAACTTTGTGCGTTGACTGTCCCCAAGTAGGCTTCTTGTTTGGGCAATGTTTGCAATAAATAAATCAACCAGGCACACCAATGTACCTGAGCACGTTGACTGTCCCCGAGTAGGCATCTTATTTGGGTAATGTTTGCAATAAATAAATCAACCAGGCACACCAATGTACACCTGAGCACGTTGACTGTCCCAGCGGTAGGGCATCTTGTTTGGGTAATGTTTGCAATAAATAAATCAACCAGGCACACCAATGTACACCTGAGCACGTTGACTGTCCCCAGTAGGCATCATATTTGGGTAATGTTTGCAATAAATAAATCAACCAGGCACACCAATGTACACCTGAGCACGTTGACTGTCCCCAGTAGGCATCATATTTGGGTAATGTTTGCAATAAAATCAATCAACCACAATGTACACCTGAGCGTTGACTGTCCCGAGTAGGCATCATATTTGGGTAATGTTTGCAATAAATGGAATCAACCAGAGCACACAATGTACACCTGAGCACGTTGACTGTCCCCAAGTGGGCATCATATTTGGGTAATGTTTGCAATAAATAATCAACCAGGCACACCAATGTACACCTGAGCACGTTGACTGTTCCGGAGTAGGCATCATATTTGGGTAATGTTTGCAATAAATAAATCAACCAAGCACACCAATGTACACCTGAGCACGTTGACTGTTCCGAGTAGGCATCATATTTGGGTAATGTTTGCAATAAATAAATCAACCAAGCACACCAATGTACATCTGTGCGTTGACTATCCCCGAGTAGGCATCATATTTGGGTAATGTTTGCAATAAATAAATCAACCAAGCACCAATGTACACCTGAGCACGTTGACTGTCCCAAGTAGGCATCTTATTTGGGTAATGTTTGCAATAAATAAATCAACCAGGAAAATCACTTTACATCTCCAAAAATTGAAGCGAATTTAGTGATATTGTTATTTTAGATAACGTAATATATTTTTGTGTTGTACAGACGTTCACAGGAAGATGAATGAGGACAGTGTTGACTTGACAAAATGCCAAAAGCGTCTTTTACGCAATCGTTCTAACGAGGAAATAGGACGAACTCCCTCTCGAGATGAAGACACTTTAGGAAAAAATCGTGTTGATGAAGAACTGGATTTATCACAAGGTATCGATTTTGTATTTCGTAATGACGAAGATGGTGATGAAGAAGAAAAAGGTCTGCAGCAAAAGGACGAACAGAAAGGATGACACACCCACCTGTGGAGATATTTCATTAAGAAAAAGTTATTTCCCGAAGGTGGCAGGTGCTGTGTCAACCGTGAAGAATACGAAGATTTCTGATGGCACCCCAACGTCAAGAATGAATTCAAAACAAAATACTTCAGCACAAATTAGATCTTCTCATGAAAATGACGCGGACGATAACAGGCTGCATGGAATGCCGTCGAAATTTCGAAATGTCGACTTGCACGAAGAAGAAAGTTATTGTTCCGACTCCAACTCCATTGTAGATGCTTTTAGGGAGAATTTCAAGGTAAGTCGAAATACAGATATCTCGAGTATAATACGGCATCTCGCGAATGGCACGATGCTTTAATAAGTCTTGGTTTGAAGTATAACTACTGCGCTCATAACTCTAGCATCTGATGTTGATGATACTTAGATATACTTCATTATCATTTATAAGAAAATGTAGATGCAATCAAAGTTCGATACATGATATTTTGCGGAGGATTTGACAAGACTCTGTTATATATACTCTATTATCATTTACGAGAAAATGTAGATGCAATCAAAGTTCGATACACGATATTTTGCAGAGGATTTGTCAAGATGATTGTATAGAGGTGTCGCTGAACAAGCTCCAGCAAAGATAGCTTTTCATTTGTGAAAACTCCACATGGCAATTTGTCTGTCGATCTACTGATTCAGGTATTATGTTGAAATATGTATAGATAACGACAACAGTCCTTATGTAATTATATATAAAGTGCACTTTGATGCAAATCTCATATTTGGAAATGGATCTTCAGGATTTTTGGTACAGTTGATGGTTCGTCAAGTAAGAAAAAGTAGTTCAAGACAAGGGAAAACTCCAGTTTTGCCGGCAAAATATCCTGAACACGATGAAACTCGTACCAGAAAAAGAAATATCTTCTGTTTCGCATCTAATGCTTGACACGGGCAAAAATCTTTCAAAGGTGCGTCGCTCATTTCTTAGTTAAAAACTCAACAATTCTTTAAAATAAAGAGCGACAAAAGATTTTGGGAATTTGTATGTGTGCGTGAAATATGCGTGAACATGTGTATATATGTGTGAATATGTGGGAACATGCGTGAACATATTTTATGTATATGAGGATATCTGTGAACATGTGCATGGATGTTAGGATATGTATAATGTATCAATGTTCCTGTGTTCCATGAATCCATTCCACCATCCCTCATCCTTCCATCTATCCACATATGGCTCTCCATACCATTTATATTTTTATGAGTTTGGTCATGTGGCCATCAATGGATGTAAAAGTCCATTAATTTAAATGTTTATTATTGTTGGCGCCATGCCTCCCCACCTCCAAACTCCACAGTTCCTGCTCTCCACTTCTCATATCAGTTCCTCCCATTGGCTATAGCCTCCCACCTCCTGATTTCACATTCTATCCTCTCACTTCACCTTCTATCCTCCCATTCACGCTCTAGCCTCCCCACCTCCTGATTTCACATCCTGCTCTCCACTTCTCCTCATCCTTCCTCTCTATTGCTATAGCCTCCCCCCACCTCCTGATTTCACAGTTCCTGCTCTCCACTTCTCTATATCAGTTCCTCCCTGTTGGCGCTTTAGTCTCCCCACCTCCCGATTTCACAGTTCCTGCTCTCCACTTCTCCTTATCAGTTCCTCCCTATTGGCGCTATAGCCTCCCCCACCTCCTGATTTCACAGTTCCTGCTCTCCACTTCTCCTTATCAGTTCCTCCCGGGTGCACGTTGTCTAAACTATTTGCTATTTTGTATTGTTCTTGATTTCTTTACTAATTCAGTTACATTTTATTCAATACGTTTCTAGACGAACAAACTTCCAAGATTCAGGTATCCTATACGTATTACAAAATTCCATAAAGACAGTTTATTTACTATGATATGTTTGTCGCTTGCACAAGTGATACAGCCTTGAAAATTATTTTGTAGAACGATGAAGAAGTCGTATGAGAGAAAAGCAAAAGCACAATGTGAACAGGTAAGGTTGTCAAAGTTGCCAAAACCCTCTTAAACATTTTCGCGTTTTTAAAATATTCAATGCGTCTTTCAGTTTTCGCCGTTCTTGCATGAAAATAACGGGGAGAATCAAATATTTTCATTTTTAGAAAGGCAGAAAGAAAACAACAAATAATTAATGACGATATGGGTAAGCTCTTTATGTTTATGTCAACTTGAGATGAATTTAGTAAAGTGTGGGCGAGTGGAGGATTGTGCACCCTCTCAACCTTGGTTAGAGAGGGTGCAGAAAGGTGCCAATTTACTTGTTGAATATTTGTGTAAAGGGAATGCTTTGAAAACGGAAGTATCGTTATTAACCAATCTGAGCGCAATTTAGTCAATCAATGAGAATGTGCAAATCGATCATGAATATGTGTTAGAGGAAAAATGAAAACATTAATTTGTTTTGAACCGATTTGTTTCGCATAGTTGTTGCTTTATAAAAGAAATAAAAGATGTTTGAACTGGTTTATGCAAACCTCGGAGACGTTTGTGAGAACTCTCGACCTTTGGTCTCATGCTTGCACTACTATGATGCTCTCCCAAATGTCTCCTCTGTTTTCATAAGCCTGTGCAAACACAGTAAACATCTTTTATTTCTTAAATACGTTGTACCTATACTAGAGTCGACTATGCAACCCCCACTCACACACACACACAAACTCTCTTTTTTGGTTAGGTTCGTCCGGTGAAACTCCTAGATCTAAAGATTTATTTGAAAATGCTGGCGATCATGAGTCATCGAGTATACTTCCAAGAAAATTATTTCATTCTGAAAAACATCGCGAAGTAAAGAAAAGACGAAGAGGTGAAATAGAAAATTTTGCATTCCTGCTTATCAGGGGAATCTTGAATGAGTGTCAAATTTTAAATCTAATTTACATGATTATTATCAATATCCTTCCTCTCACCAATATTATCATCAATGTTCTTCCTCTCACCAACATTATCATCAATATTCCCTCTCCTCAATTATCAATATTCTTCCTCTCACCAACATTATTATCAATATTCTTCCTCTCACCAACATTATTATCAATATTCTTCCTCTCCACCATTATTATTATCAATCCTTCCTCTCACCACATTATCATCAATTTCTTCCTCTCACCAACATTATTATCAATCCTTCCACCATTAGTATCCCTTCTATATCCATCATTTCTATCAATAGTCTTTCTTTCCCACTATTGTCAATATCCTTCCTCTCACTCACATTATCAATCCCTTCATCTATATCCATCATTTCTATCAATATCTTTCTTTCCCACCATTGTATCAATATTATTTCACCAACATTATATCAATTTCCCTATCCATCCTTCTATCATCTGTATCTATATTTTTCCTTTCACATTGGTTATTAATGGTAAACTTGTCTGGTTTTGAACGAACGCCAAATGATGGCAAATGTTTATACGATCATTGATGATGATATGATGATAATGATGATGATGATCATCTTGGGTGAGTTTTATGATATCTTTATACTCACTGATTATGCATTAATTATTCAACTTTTAGGAGTGAATGATTGGTTAGTGAATAGGGAGTATGATTGGTTAATGAATAAGAGATTGGTTGATGAATAGGAGAGCATGATTGGTTAGTGAATGGAGAGTATGATTGCTTAATGAATAGGAAAGTATGATTGGTTAATGAATAGGAGTGCAAGATTGGTTAATGAATAGGAAGATCAAGATTGGTTAATGAATAGGAGATCAAGATTGGTTAATGAATAGGAGAGAATGATTGGTTAATGGTTAGAGTATGATTGGTCAATGTAGTAACTTACATGACAGTCACAATGTATAATGTCTGTACAACGCTTCTTCCAATTTTGTAGTACAAGAATGCTTTTGTACTTTTAATTGTATGATAAAAAGTTCACCACTACCAAGGGCGAATTGACTGTTTTGTTGCATGAAATATTCCTCTATGAAACAACTCAATTTCAATTGCCGTGTCGTTTACAGGAAAGAAATGCAGACGTCATTTGCGAGTTTAGGAATGGAAGTGCAAAGGCGGTTAAGGTACGTCTTATGCATGAAACATTCTCAGATATATATTTTTTCAATATTGTATCTTAACTTTCCATCGTTATTCTGATAATTGTGCGACGCTTTATGTATGATTGTATAACTAAAATGTTTTATAATCTTAAAAGCAACGTCAAAACTACGTCACTCAAATGACGAACGTGGCTAAAACATATCACTGACAGAAGTCACGAACTGTGGGCCAAACAAGCTTCAAAACGGTACAGTTGTAGTTTATAATGAGAATTAAACTTTACTTCACGCTAAAACTAGCATTCTCATAAAAGAAACATTGGCTACTACCACTCTTGTACATTAGACAATCAAATATTTCAAAGGTAGGAGTGGAAGCCTCAAAATAAGTCAAACAAATTCTGAAATTGATTTGAAAGATGCTTTTATTCCAGCAAAATTATTTCGTTTTCAGCGCCGCCCTCGTGAAAGTTATTGCTGATTAACAAATGCGTAAGATGACCATAAAACAGATTACATCTCGAACAGAAGCAATTGTAAACAAGATGATGGTATGTTTATGTAAAAAGCAAAATAGATAGTATGTTTATGTAAACAAAATGATGGTATATTTATGTAAACAAAATGATGGTATGTTTATGTAAACAAAATGATGGTATGTTTATGTAAACAAATGATGGTATATTTATGTAAACAAAATGATGGTATGTTTATGTAAACAAGATAGTATGTGTTTTATGTAAACAAGATGATGGTATGTTTATGTAAACAAAATGATGGTATGTTTATGTAAACAAAATGATGGTATGTTCATGACTCCTATACATACAGTTGTCTTTGATTTTTCGCTGAAGAATTTGAAGCTTTTTTTCTAAGAACAGCTAATTAAATTATCAGCTACTCATATAGTCTATGTCACGACTGAACAAAATGTTTACAGGCTCAAGCTATTGTACCATTGTATCAAATGCTTAGGAAATAGGAACTATAGCCTGCATAAAGGCATTACATTGTGCTGCGTGATTGTTGGATTTTCCTACAGACATATATACGCTTCAATTTGTTTATACTTCAAACGTATGATAACTTTATGCTGTTTTAGACGCAAGTTGACAATAGTCTACAAGATTTAGCCACACAAAGAAAGGAGCAAGAGAATTGGTATTTTTCATTTTATAATGTTTTATTGTTTACCTGCACATCTGGATAAAGCGCTGATTTTTTGATGTTCGTGAAAAACTATACAAGGATTGTTCGTCTTTATTTATTTATTTATATTTCAATTTATTCCGGAGACCACATCACTTGAGTGTTTTCACTGGGATGCTGTTTTGTATAACCTGTAAAATACCTTGAATACATTGAAAGCTTCTCAAACACACACTTACATACATATTCAAAAGTATAATCAAGTACTACTAAAGTTGCAGATTTAGTAAAGATTCAAAATGAAAAATAGATTTAGCAATCTTATTGGAAGTATCAAGTTAATATAGTCTTTAGAGCGAGATAGGTTGGTGTCCTAGTTCGTGTTTACTTTTGTAGATGGGAATCGCAGCTTCAACTTGTAGAATGGGAACGAATTCGTTTGCTGTTCCTTGTTAGGTTAAAGTTGAAGTCCGTTAAATTATTACTCCGTTTGTACATAAATGTGTTATTGTACAGACCGAGGTGTTATTGTACAGACCGAGCTTGTAGGGCGAGTTTGTACAAAAAGACAGAGGTCCGATATTTCTCAGTAAAGACCGAGAAAGCGAGGTTATTAAAAGGATCATTATGTGGCATTGTTTGACCTGAAACGAAGCTTGCTTTCTTTCTCGTCTTTGCTGTTTTTTACCGGTTGGCTTTCACTTTTCTAGTTTTCGTCCATAAAAAATAAATCGTTTCAAATTGTATCGTCTGAATAGTTTAACTGTTTTCTAAGTTTTTTCCTTCGAATCACATTCGTAAATGGTTTTTTCTTTTGTTTATTTTGCGTTTTGCTGTTTGCTTTACGAAATTTGTTTACATTTGACAGTAAAATTACGTTTTGGACCGTGGTCGATTACGGGAAAATAATGGCCGGCAAAATGTTTCTGAGCCTATCAAAGCGCGCCATTTTGCCGGAAGTGACGCTTTCCATATAATTAGAATTCGTAATTATATTTTCAGTTGGCGAGGAATTTTGACGACTCAAAAAGCTTTTGTGGAAACATTTAGAAAGATTGAAGAAAATGAGCAATCTGAACAGGTTGGAGTCACGGATTTGCGTAATCTTCAACTGATGCTGTTGTTTCCTATTGGTGTAGCACAGAATTAAAAAATAGAAAAGATCGTCTCTTGTAATTTTTTTGTAGACGCTATAAACTATTGATTTGCCACTCAACAAGTGTAAAAACAGAGGCGATCTCCCCCCCCCCTCGGGTCCACTCAAAATGCTAATTAGAACATTCCAACAAAAACTATCCAGGGGGGTGCCTCTGTTTTCTGCACTGATTGAATGATTAATTCATGACGTATGGCAATAGTGACAAAAATCACTTAAGACCATGTTTGTGACGTTAGCATTCGGTCTTCTAGCTAAATGTATCATTGTATATTTAGATGAATTTGCAAGCTTCTTTGAAGACGGAATTAAAGAAATTTCGGGACAACGCTGCGAAGGAAGTTGTGAGTTGCCCACCGTTATCTCCCCCATAGTCCATATGATTGTCGTGAATTTGAAAATTTTAACTCGTGCAGTAAACGTCATGTAAGCGAAATTAAGGAATCCGACTTCGACGACTTGTTTTTTGTCTGGAACATGGTTTCGTCGGGGCCTGTTTTCATGAGTCACTTGCTGAGGAGCCCGGGACATAAATTGTCGATTCCTTCTATACTAATTTGACGATAGTTGCGTTCAAATGTTTGCCCAATTGTCCTGGGACAAAACTACAAACCGAATGACTCGGACACTTACCTAGGGATTATTCATTACGTGAACGCACGGATTAAGTATCCCACTATGTATTTAAATGTTCAAGCTAAAATCACGTCGCGCCCTCAGTCGTATAATTTGTGTAGTGGATTAATACTTTTTCCAGGTTT